TCTTTGGGCTTATTATCAATTGAAAATTATATTCTTCAAAAAAATTAGGTATGTTAGAAAGAATGTATTTTGCTAACTAGAAAGCCTAAAATTTTTATTTTATTTTTTTCCCAGAAAGCCTAAAATTTTTAAAATGTGTTTTAAATAAAACTATACAACCATATTCATGTCTTTCCTTCCTTTTTTTATTTTCTTTTTAATATATTTTTGTTTGAGACAGTCTCACTTTGCATCCTTTGGTTCAGTACCATGATAGCATAGCTCACAGCAACCTTAAACTATTGGGCTCAAGTGATTCTCTTGCCTCAGCCTACCAAGTAGCTGGGACTACAGGCACCTGCCACAACACCCAGCTATTTTTAGAGACAACATCTCACGCTGGCTCAGGCTGGTCTCTACCTATGAGCTCAGGCCATCCACCTGCCTCAGCCTCCCAGAGGATTACAGGCATGAGCCACCTCGCCCGGCCCTCATTCCTTCCTTTACAGAAGTAAAATTATCCCATAGTAAGAAAAGAAAAAATTGAGATGGAAAAACAACTTGAAGTATGTTTTACTAATGCATGTAATAAGCTCTTACACTGATGGAAATACAGTAGAATCTCCATAGTTGACCACTTCCCTACATGACTACCTCCTTAAGTTGACCTAAATGTCATCGACCAGACGTGCACCACATGTGTGTTATCAGCACTGTGGACCTAGTTCCTTACATCGACTACCTCTGTATGTTGACCAGTTTGCTATAGTCCCTTGGGTGATCAACTTACAGAAGTTCTACTAAACATGATTTTGTTGGTAGAAATTATTTTCTCATGATTTTGCTAAATAAGTTGAAGGACTACCCCAAATATATTGTTTTTAAAGGTGTCAAATGAGTAACCTGCCGGTTTTTGATATGTTGGGGGAGCGGGGAGTATTGCTTTTTGCCTTGACAAAAGAACTTGAGAACACCAAGTACTGTACACCAAAGGCCACAAGATGTCGCTTTCTGACAAATTCTTGCTTGCAGCTAATGCGGCCATAGCAGAAAGAAGAGAGGTGGGAAGGGATGTTGACTATATTTTGATGTAATAACCAGAAGCACATCCGTTCGGATAGCCAACAATTGATGCATCTATGCAACAGTCGATACAACGATCAACGGGCCCGCCTTACGTGCCAGTCCCTAAACGTGCTTGCCAGAGGCCTTCATATTGGCCTTATTGTTGGCAGAATTTCTTTCTGCAGTGGGTTCTTGATCTCCGAGATTCAAAAAATGAATCCACGGACCACACAGATCAGTGATAGAACAGAATTTATTAGACTGAAAGGAATACAGAAGGAATGAAAGGCAACAGTACCTCTGGCTGTAGAGGAGGAAGACCCAAGTGGGAAATCGTGCATGGATCTTTTGTCTGGGGGGTTATATATTGCTTGTACACAGGGAGGTCTTAGGAATAAAAGCTACACTTGGCCAGGAGCTGGCAGACAAAAAAAAAAAGTCTTGCCTGTCCCTCTGGCTGTGGGCAAAGCAGAAGGGCCTATGCTTTCCACTTCAGGAGGGGCCTGGCTATATGAAATACTGGCCAAACTGCTTTTCTCCCGTCTGGCTTATATTCAGAGAGTTCAGTTTGGAGAAAAAAAGGTCTGTTTGCTCAGGCCTAGAAAACGGGGGTCCCCATCCAGCCCTGAACGGGGAAACCCTGTATCATTATCTTTGTCCTCATGTTGTGTTTGCAAGTGCTTTCCACATTTTTATTTCCTGCCCCTAGACTTGCCAGAGATTCATTTCACGTGTCTTTCCAAAGAATCTCCTTTTCAATTTATAAATTGTATGGATTTTCCAAATCTTTTTCCCCACATTTTTATCCTTATTAATGCCTCCTTCTTGCTTTTTGAGAGTTCACTTCTCCCTCCCCACTAACATTTTGGTTGAATGCTTGTTTTTATTTTCTTATTAAATAATGACAAGCATTTAGACCTAGCACTGTGTGATGGGGCTGAATGTAGGGACCTGCCTAAATAGAACTATCCCGCTCAGGAAGTCGGGCCTAAACCTGTCACTGTGGCTAGTGCCTGTAATTAATCCGAGCACTTTCAGAGGCTAAGGTGAGAGGATCGCTTAAGACCAGGGGTTTGAGGTTACAGTGAGTTGTGACAATGTCACCGCACTCTAGCTCAGGTAACAGTGAGAACTTGTCTCAAAAATAAATAAAGCATTTAAAGATATTAAATTTTGAGAACAGTGGCTGTATCTCATAAACGGAGCACATGTAGTGAGAATAAGATGGAGTCAGTCAGCCTAAGGCCAACATGACACAGCTGGTCTGGCCAATTTAAGTCCTAAGTGACTTTTTCCTCTTGTCTCCCATTCTTGTTTTGCTCATCTTTAACCTAAAGGTGTGTATCTTCAATAGTTTCGGGCAATTGATTTAGGAGATTAACTTTTGAATTAGAAATATTGCTTTGGGTCATGTCAATTATCGTTTATTGTGGGTCATAGGTTGTGGTGATTACTGTTGTTTAAGGTAAGTGTTAATTACTGTTGTTTAAGATTGAGAGTTAGTGTAGTTCTTGCTTTTAGCTTTTATGTATGAAACTGTGATTTTGGAAATAGAAGAACAGAACAGTCTTGGAGAGGCTACTCTCGCTGTTCTCTAGAACCACTGGCCTTCTGATAAATAAAGTTTGGTGCACTTATCCCTGCCTCTGCATACTGCTGACAGTGACAGGCAGTCAGACTCTCTTCATCTAGTAATAGTAATAACTGACACTGAGTGATTGCAGATAGTATAAGTGCTTATAAGTTTTGTGCAGTCCTCACCGCAAGCCTTTGAACTAGGCATTATCATTACCATCATTTTACAGTCGAAGAAAACTAAAGCTCAGAGAAGTCAAATAACTTACCCAACATCACACAGTTAACAATCATTGGTGCCAGAATTCTAATACTGGAGTCCACATGACTCCAGTGACTAATTGCTCAATGCTAAATTTTGATATATACAGCTTTTGTTGCCTGGAACTCTCCCCCATCAAATATATTAATAGTTTATAATGGCAACTTCTAGTTCCTCTTTTACCCAATAGTTATTTAGAAAATTTGTTTTTATTTCCAAGAGATTGGATTATTCAGTTGACTTTTTGGTATTCTTTTCAAATTTTCATGCATTGTGGCCAAAGTACTTGCTTACATGAATTCTGCTTTTTGAAACCAAAACTTTCTGACATAGGACATAATATAGAAAACTAGATATTCTTTAGTACTTAATTAAGTCAACCTTATTTATTCTAGCACGCTGTCCTTTGGATGTTTATTATTTTTTTTAATTTTCTAGCACATCTTCTAAAGGCTAAAAGGGATGTGTGAAAATCCCCCATGGCAAGTGTGGTGTTTCTACCACCTTCTTTGTGGCTTAATGCTTTCTGCCTTGGGTCTACTTTATGGATCTTTAATAGCAGCTAACATACACTGAACATTTATTGTGTCCCACAGTTTGTGCTAAGAACGTCACAGGTATTATTTTAATTATCAAAACAACTCAAGACAGGTGTAAATCCAGGTTTTGTGGAGACTGAAATGTATATATGGATGAGGTCTCCTGAGGAAAAAAATGACAAAATTAGGAACCCAAAATTAAGTACGACGATGAAATGTTCGTTTAGAGTGAAAAAATAAATCAACAAATTAAGGGCTCTCTTCCGGCATTTAGAAGAAACTTTTAGAAGAACCTCTTCCCGGCTGCAACCTTCCGACCTGGAAGACTACAAATTCCAGCAGCCTCAGCAAATGAACGTAAATTTCATTAGCCTCACCCTAAATCGGCCTGGTAGCGGGGAAGGATGTTATCATTAGCTCCATTTTTTATAGACGAAAAAACAGATTCTGGCATTGCAAAATTGGAATCTGAAAACTGTACTTATGGACTCCAGAGCCCTCGCCTTTACCCCGCGCAGCTTCTCACTGACATCACAGAGCGCGCACGAGGGTTTGGTTAAGGACTGCCGAGGGTTGAACAAAAGGACAAGAGAAAATGGAATGAAGTCCCTAAAGAGAGGTGGACAGAAATGGGCTCCACAGCTCTAGTAGAGAAACGCCTATCAGACAAGGGAGAAATTTAAGAAATGGTAAGACGTGACAGAAGTCGACCGAGTTAGACCTATACTGAAAGGGCGGCACTAGATCGGCTTTTCTGGAGCAATTACCTAACATACATACTTTCGTTTATCTACAAAATGTAATGAGCCCAACCACCTTGGGGCGTGGTACTAGGTTCCAGCCGCTAAACGGCTGTGCCCGGCCACCCCACGCAATGCGACCGGCGCTGTTAGGGAGCCAGGACCGAGGGAGGGGAGGCCACAGCGGTCAGCCGAAAAGTCAAGAAGGCCATCCGCTGGGTGCCAGTGGAGTACCGAACATGGCCGAGAAAAAATAGGAGGGCAGCACCCAGGAGCCACAAGCCACAAGCAGGGCCGGAAGTGGGGCCCCCAAGCTGGCGTCCCTCTCAGCCAATGGCTGCGTGGTGCGCTATCTGACGGTGGCGCGCGCGGCACCTGGTGGGAAAAGGTGGGCGGCTTGTGAGGCGCAAAGCGGCACCATCTGTCCGTGTTTTATCAGAGCTTCCAGGGCAGTGTAGCCACGAGCAAGCGTCTTCCCCCATGTTTAACCTAGGCCAGTGCCACCACGCCTTTAACCAGAGGCCGAGGCCCCAAATGCCCTTGGTAAAGATGGCTGAGGGGCGTGGCGGGTGGGGGGAATCCGGAAGTATCCGGGACTGGGAGGAGCCTATCAGGTCTGTTGGGGCGTGGCTTGGAGGAGAGGCGTGGCCAGCCTGCTTAATTGGGGTTTGAAGTCTCTGAGGCGCACGTTCTGCCGCCAGCCGCGCCCGGCGGTCTTTCAGGGGGTGTGTCCATTGCAGGCTCCGCCCCCATTCAGGTGACTCTCTTTTGAAAGTTTCTAAGATTTGTTCCTGGTGTCTTGTCGACCCCTAGTCCCACTGCGGTCGCCGGCTAGCAGCGATGGAGGGCGCCCAGGAGAAGGCTCTGGAGCCTAGCCCCTCCGCCCCCGGGTCCGAAGAGCCTTCAGGTTCTGTCAGAGGCCCCGAGGATTTGCCTCCCGAGGAATCCCAGGGCTGCGCCCGGCCCCCAGAGGCGGCCCGAAAGAAACTTTGTGGGTATTTAAGTAAGTTTGGCGGCAAAGGGCCCATCCGGGGCTGGAAATCCCGCTGGTTCTTCTACGACGAGAAGAAATGTCATCTGTATTATTCGCGGACCGCGCAGGATGCTAATCCCTTGGACAGCATCGACCTCTCCAGTGCAGTCTTTGACTGCAAGGGGGACGGTGAGGAGGGGACTTTCGAAATCAAGACTCCCAGCCGAGTTATAACCCTAAAGGTAAATGGAAGGGTTTCTCCCTTTCCAGCCTAGGTGAGTTCCTGGGACATGGCTGGGCGCGCGTGTGTGGTCACAGTACAGTGACTGGAACAGTGATCACTGATGTGTTCCCAGAACTTAGTGATTTCCAAAGTACATTTACACCCATTTCATCCTTGGGTTCCCACAAGGCAGGAATGATGGGCCCGTGTTACAAATCAGGAAACTGAGTCATAGAGAGATTAAAGTGATTCACCTGAGGTCGGGCATTTAGTCCACACTTGGAAACTTTCTATTTCTCAATGCTATATTAAAACTTGTACTTGGGGAGGTACCTAAAAGTACCTTAGCTTTCTTACTTGGGGTTGAAGTATCATCAAGGTCTTTGTAATCCTGTCTCAAGGCCAGGATTCTGACTCACTTTTCTTAATGTTTTGGCTAAAGGAAGTGAATGCTGACACAGTTGGCAGAGATAAGCACTTAGGTTTTACTGATCAGCCTAGATTGTTCTTCTAGGCATGTCTAAACCTGTTTTTCCATCAGCAGCAAGAGGTTTTGTTTGATCATCGTGTTTAACTGAGAAAGCCTCAAGTAGTGGGAAGACCACGTACTTTGAAATCAGACAGGCTTGGATTCAAATTGTACGTTTGCTATTTACCAGCTGTATGACCCTACGCGAGTTACTTAACCCCTCAGATCCTAAGTAGTCTGAGAGCATTTGGCACATCATAGGCATCTACAAATTATTGCATTAGTCTCAGCCTAGAATACAGCTTGGCACCTAGTGGGTACGTAATAAATGTTGAATAAACATACCTGCATACATAGGCTGGTGGAACCAAGGTCAGAATGCTCCTGTCAAGAGGCAGTGTCCCATAATTTAAGTGGGAAGACGTTTCTGGGCTAATTGTCCTGTAGGCATCAGAGAAAAGTGTGCCACAGGCTCAGTTCTCCTTTGCTGAGTGGGCTTAGCGGGTGACCAGGCTGGGGGACTTGGTTAAAATCATGGAAGCCAGAAATTCAGGTCGGGGAAGACACTTTAGAGGTCATGTGGGTTCTCGTCTCTTCTAGGTTGGGTGCTGTATAGAGAACCCTGACACATAGTCTTTGCTATTCTATCAGTGCACATGGGTATCCAGCTCTGTGCTAGGCTCTTTGTTATGGAGACAGATCAGCCCTGCCCCTTGTTTTTGTTGTTGTTGTTGGTGGTGGTGGTGGTTTTTTTCTGAGAGTCTCAATTTGCAGCCCTGAGTAGAATGCTATGGCATCATCATAGCTCATGGCAACCTTACACTTTTGGGCTCAAGAGATCTTGCCTCAGCCTCCCAAGTAGCTGGGACTATAGGCATGCATCACAACGCCAGCTGGGTTTTTTGTGGGTTTTTTTCTATTTTTAGTAGAGACAGGGTCTCACTCTTGCTCAAGCTGGTTTCAAACTCCTGAGCTCAAGCAATCCATATGCCTCGGCCTCCCAGACTGGTAGGATTACAGGCATGAGCCACTGTGCCCAGCCTGCCCCAGGGTTCTCAAACAGTGTAAGGCCTGGTAAGAGAGACTGACAGGGAACTGGCATGCACAGTATAGTTCCATAGAGACCCTGTGCTAAGTCTGTACAAGACAAGTGTGTTCATAGGTGGGGTCATTTCCAGGGAGTGGAGGGGCTGGCCGGAAAGGCAGGAATAACACCTGAGGCTTTAAAGAAGAAATAAGCATGCGATAAGCAGACAAGGGGGGGAAAGATATTCTAGGCCAAGAGAGCCACTTGGGCAAAGATAGGAAAATATGATCCAGCTCTGAGTGTCCAGGCAACTCCCAAGAGCCGGGATACAGAGGGGGCCTGAAGGATGGAGTTGGAGAGCAGAGATCTGGAGGTGGGGCATTTATGAGTTAGGCCAAGGAGCTTGGACTTTGTCCTGCAGGCTGAAGGAAATTGTTAGAGTTTTAAGCAAAGAAGCTCTGTGGGATTAGAATGTTTAGAAAGCTCAGTCTGGGTAGTGGGTAGAGAAGAAGTTAGGGGAAGATAGGCAGGAGTCCATCACGAGGTGATTAGGCGAGGATGATAGCTGTGGCCATGGGGAGGGGGACAGTGGAGGTGTCTTGGGGTACTAGGGAAGTAAAATGTGGGAGGATATCAAGGGTGGCTGGAGTAACTGACCAGCTGCCTGGTTGAGTCAGTCACAGACAGGAGGGAACTCAAGGGGAGGAGCTGATGGGACATCCAGGTACATGTCTCCTGCTATAGATTCTTAAATTCCGAGAGGACAGGGAGCACATGTGTTGACTCAGCCCTGGATCTCCAGCACCTAGCACAGTCACTGATGCATATAATGGGTGTTCAATGTACATTTATCCAATGAGTGGGGTATTTGGGTTTGGCTGGCATTTTTCTGCATTAAGTTAAGGTCATGGTGAAGCCCAGGGACTGAGGTCTATTAGGAAAAGTGCATGGAAAGAAAAGACTGGGGCAGCGCCTGTGGCTCAAAAGGGTAGGGCACTGGTCCCATATGCCGGAGGTGGCGGATTCAAACTCAGCACCGGCCAAAAACTAAAAAAAAAAAAGAGAGAGAGAGAAGACTGGTAGCCATCATTTTGTGTTGTTGATACCTGCATGACAGGCTGAGGGTCTCTTTCATGAAGTCTCCAGGCATTGTACTTACCTGTAGACCCCAGAGAGGGGGAGCTTGCCAATATTGCCATGTAGGCTGCTGCTCTTCTCATGCGGTCTTGACTTTGGGCAGTTCTGTGAGGCTCCCATCCACCAGCCCACCTCAGACAATCTCAGGGCTTCTTTGTGGAAGCCTCAAATCTCCTGGCCATAAATTCCAACAGAGTTCTGTGATCTAGCAATGGGACACCCAGGTTCTAGGAACAGCTCTACCCACAAGTCTGGGCAAGTTCAGAGCCTCAGTTTCTTCATTCATGGAAAGGACTGATCACTCCAGCCTCACCTCTCTCCTAAAGGATCCGGGAAAGTGGGTGTGTAGACCACCCAGTGCTGGGAGACTGATGACCAACATGTACCATTAACTTATGTGGATTGCTGGAGCACATGAAAGGTGCTGCTGTGTTATCATAGAGTGCATGTGGCTTTCCAGTCCTCAGTCCTATCCGTGACTCAGTGCATTCCCAAACAGGAGGGATCACCTCCATTCCACTAAAAGGCAGCAAAGACCTGCAGACGTCACAGAGGGAGATAGTGATGGCACCCTGGCCCCACTCAAGTTAGAATTCCAAAGCTCTTCCCCTCTCTCATAGCAGACCAAATTCCCCTGTCCAGTGAGCACATTTTTAGTGCCTACTGCGTGTCAGGTACTGTGCGGGACACTTCATGTTCCTTATCTCGTTTCATCTTTGTACCTGCCCTAAAAAATGGGTGGTGTTATCACAGTAGTACAGATGAGAAAACTGAGATCCAGTTAAAGAACCACTGAGGGGGAGACAAGACCCTGATTATCTTCTATGGTCTAGAAGCATATAGTGCTTCAAAGGTGAGTACCTACCCACACTGACTATTTTTTCTGGGAAGAGAGAGTTCCTATCCATGCCCAGTGCCACCCTCCAGTAACAGGGCCTTGCCAACTAATCCTTGTGCTTCTCAGGCCGCCACCAAGCAAGTGATGGTGTACTGGCTGCAGCAGCTGCAGATGAAGCGCTGGGAGTTCCACAGCAGCCCACTGGCACCCGACGCCACGCTGGCTGGGAATGGGCCTGCCTTGCACCTCGAGCTAGGTACCCAGGGCTCTGGTGATTAAACCTTTACCTTCCTGTTGAGTGAGTGGGAGGAGTTAAGAGAGATACAGAGAGCCAGGGATGTGGTTCAGGATTAGTAGGGCAAGAATTTGAGCTTGGAGGCCAGGCTGCCTGTGTTCAAATCCTAATCCTGTGTGATTTTAGACAAGTCACTTAGCCTTTCTGAGCTTTAGTTTCCTTCACTATAAATTGAGGTTAATAAATCATACTTACTCTTTAGGACTATTATGAGGATTAAATGAATCCGTGCACCTAAAATCATTAGAACAAAGCTGACACGTGGTCACAGCCCAGCAATTGTTAGCTCCTATTATGATAACTATTATGGGAAGTCTCAGAAATGAAACTTTCACAGAGTTGCCATGAGGAGGGTTAATGAGAAATTGTGGTGTTGTGCGTGCTTCTTATGCAAATGCTTTCGCACTGTGAGTTGGATAGATGAGTGATCTTATACCTGCTATTCTCATGAGACAGACTGCTTTGCATCCTCATGGCTTATCAAAGAAGTTTCTTGATCCCATCTTAGAACATCCCCACATGGAGGAGCTCAGGAGATCACACCCATATGCTGCAGCCAGGACATGTTTGGCAGGTTTTAGAATTGAGATAGAGCACATCACAGCTGCCCCAGCAAGGACACAGAAAACAAGGTCCCAACATCAGGCCGCAGGGTATCTAAAGTGCCTTGTCTCCAGTTGGCAGGGAGGCTGAATAGGCGAGGACAGGAATTGTCACCAATGCCTTCCAGACCACTATGCCTGGATGCTTTGTGTCCACAATTGAGTGTATCCACCTTGACCCTTCTCCTCCCTCGGTGTCCTTTCCCTCAGTGTATGGCTCCCCACCGTTGGCCAGCAACTCCAGTCAGGCACTGTGCTAACTTTGCCCCTCTGACCCACACAATGGATCCAGACATTTCTTGCCACCATTGCCAGGGTCATCTCTCAGTTGAAAAATGACAGCAGCCTCCTCTGTAGTATCCCCATGTACAGATCTGCACTGAGCCCACCTACCTCCTGCACCCTGAGTGAGCTGTCAGGAAAACCTGAGCCCGTCACCCACTCCATGGCTTCCCACCACCCGGCTCCTATACCCAGTGCTCAGACCTCGTGACCTCCCCTCTGCCAGCTCCCCCTGAGCCTGCCTTGGGCTTGAGGCTTCAGCAGCACCAGATGAGTCTCTGCTCTCTCTCTCTCCCCTTTGCCTGGCAAATTCCTGCTTATTCTTGCAGCCAAGCTCCATTTGCACCTCTCTTGCCAATGTCCTCCTGGAAGACTTCTCGAACTTTGCCAACTGGATTCTTTGTGGGACCTGGATTCTTTGTGTCAGTCTCCATCCACTAGCCCTTAAGGGTCAGTGCCATTTCTTTGTCACCTATGTCCTCATTCTTTGGTGCCCTGACTACCACATTGGATATTTGTAGAGTGAATGTGTACATAAATACATTGAACTTTATAATTAAATGAGGAAAGGCGTGTGAAGCCCTTAGCATAATGTCATGCACAGAACAAGTGCTTACTACATCACATGTATCCTAATGTGTGTGTGGTGTACATACATGTGTGTGCTTTTGCTATCATAATAGTACATGTGCACACATGTTTACTATTACTATTTCAATAAATGCTCCTTTGATGTTAATGATAATCATCAGTGATTCTTTGGGGTTTCTTTCAAAGGGTTTCCTTGCTGCTGCACTTCTCCAGCTCTCACTCTCCATCTGCCAGGGAGCCACACAGCCCCGGCTACCTAAAAAAATTACAGCTTGCATTGACAAAATTGCTGAAGGTTAGCCTTAGACTAGAAGCAAGAATAACCCCTCCCCCCTTAACAGAATTCCCCTGTGTCTTGAACTGAAATTTGAAGAAGCAGATTGTCAAAGCGTGGCTCTGGGATCCCCCGGTCCTCTTCTACTGTGGTGAACCTGTTCCAGGTTCTTTAATTCTGTGGCTTTGTTGCAGCACATGTGGTGGGCCTAATCCCTGCTGTAGGCACGGGGGAGGGGAGTTAGGTGCCGGAACAACCAGGGTGCCAGTCCCCAAGGAGGATGCTGGCATCAAACTCCAGAAGCAGGAATGTGGGCTTCCTGTGAAGCCTTGTCTCATCCCACAGTAAGCCTACACCCTGTCTGACCCAGGGACTGGGCAAAACCTTCCCCAACCCACCCAGGAAAACATTTTTGCAATCTTAAACCAGCAAGCCCTGGATTAGCCTTCTGGAGCAATCTGCCCCACCTCTTCAGCCTCCACCCTTCCTGAGGAAGCCAAGGCCTGCTTCTAGGACAATGAAAACCTCCTGACGCATGTCTGACTTTGAGTCACAGAGACACCATCTGGTAAAAAGTGTCTTGTCACTGCCCTTGAGCAATCAGAAAGTCATGTTTATAAGCATTTATAACTTTGTTTTATACTTTACATGAACAGCGGTCTCTACAGAGCCAAGAAAGATCAAAGAGAAACTGACAGATAAATAATAATAATAACACGCTGCCAAACTAGGCTAGAGTTTACAAAGGACTTTAATAAATAAATGTACCTCACCACAAAAACACGCGTGCCATTTGATGATCATGCTCTAACATGCTGCATGCATCATCTCATTTAGTCCTCAGAACAATCTTACCAGGTAAGATTATCAGTTAGTGTTATTCACCTTTTATAGAAGAGGAAACTGAGGCTTGCAGATGTCAAGAGAACTCTCTGAGGTCACATAGTAAGAAAATATTAGTACTGAAATTCAAACCCTAGTTTGCAGACTCATATTCCTGCTTCCAAAGGTGAGGGACAGCCAAGCCATCTGTCTAGGGCCCTTCAGGGAAGCAGTGACCACCTCATCAGGCCATTTGTGTCTAGGCAGTGACTTCGCACTGGTGGTGGGCAACCCCTAGGACCCAGGCAGGGAGAATTACACATAAATGCTACTGAAAATTCTTTATATGGTCACCTCATGGAGGGCATTTATTGAAGCTAGAGGGAGGCCCAGAGGCCCCAGATCAGAGCCGTGGGTCATCAGTTCTGTTTCTTATGGAAAGTACTGTCTCTGCTGTGGCATTGCCATTGTGTGCTGCCCATCCTTCGACACACCTTTGCGCTGGGGCTTATGCCTTGATGAGCTGCCTTGGAACAGTCTGCTGATCAGTGGCTTTGCTTGGATCCATCTTGCTTTCTCTAGCCTCACCTGGAAGCCTCAGGGCAGACTGTTCCAAGGCAGTTTCTGTCTACTTGTTAGAAAGGGTGCTCTAATCAGCCCTGTGGTTTAGTGAAAGAAGCAAAATGAGGAACTGCATTTAAGCCTCTAACTGTGTCACCTGCTAACTTTGACATGGAACTTATTATCTCTGGGCTACTGTTTCCTTATTGGTGAAACCAACTGAGGATAACACTTAACCCTCAAGACTCAGTTCTCTGTGGTTTCAGAGCAGATTTAAGGCCACAAGTGCCAGTGGTAGGAAAAAAGATAATAATGGTAGTTTGGGAGGTACTTACTAGGATATTAAAATCTTAGAAAAATCTGTAATTTTTTTTTTTACAATGAATGAAGGAGAATAAAGTTGGTTACAGTAAAAAAAAAAAGTTGGTTACAGTGTTGATAAAAAAAAAACTTATTTATTTTCAATCAACTCAAAATCTGTATTAAAGACTACTTTAAAAGATGTGAGTCCACAGGGCCTTTATGGATTTCTACACATTTTCATGTAATTTAACTCTGAAGGAGTTTTTAAAGGGGGGGGAGCACCTATGGCTCAAAAAGGGTAGGGCGCCAGCCCCATATGCCAGAGGTGGTGGGTTTAAACCCAGCCCCGGCCAAAAACTACAAAAAAAGAAAAGCTATTTCCAACCAGGTCACAGCACAGAAGCAGGGCTGGGTTTCAAACCTGCTACCAAAGCCAGGTTCAGTACTTCATGCTCCTCTGCTGAAACCCCAGGGGCTCTGGTTTCCAGCATGATGAGATCTGGCCTCTTAGCCACACCCCTTTCCACTTGGCCTTCCAGTCCTGTCTCCTTGGGATCCTCTCCCCAAACTCAGCTCTGGAACCTTTGCTGTTGTCTATACCTACACTCTGCACAGAAACATCCAAGATCCTTTCTTACTCCTCCTGCAGATCCAAATCATCTCTAGTCCTTAAAGCTCAGCTGCATTGCTTCCCCTTCCTGGAATTCTTCCCTAGTCAGATGTGGAAGGACTCTGTCTCCACCACCAGAACTGCCCCAGCTCCTGCCCAGCTGGTTTCCCTAAGTGTGCACGCTTTGCTTCACTGCTCCTTAGGCTGTGAGCTTTGCCTGGATCCATCTGGCTTTCTCTAGCCTCACTTAGAAGCCTCAGGGCAGACACCCAGTCTGTTTGGTAAGAGGGTGAATGGAAGGGAGGACCTCAAAAGAATTTTTTTTTTTTTAGATAGAGCCTCACTCTGTTGCCCTAGGCTAGAGTGCCATGGTGTCATAGCTCATAGCAGCCTCAAACTCTTGGGCTCAAGCAATCCTCTTGCCTCAGCCTCCCAAGTAGCTGGGCCTACAGGCACTCACCAATAATCCCCAGCTAGGGGTTTTGGGGTTTTTTTGAGTATTTTTTTTTTCAAATTAATATGCGGGTACCAATTTTTAGGTTACATTGTTCTCACTTCCAGTGTAAAATTCCATTTGTAGAAGAGCCCCTCACCCGCAGGGCATGTTGTACACCCTCACAATATGCACATTAAGTGAGATCCTGCCTCATGCCCTGCCTACTGTGCCAAATGCACTCCCCCTATCCTCCTCCCCCAAGCTAGTTTTTCTAGTTTTGGTAGAAATGGGGTCTCACTCTTGCTCAGGTTGGTCTCAAACTCCTGAGCTCAGATGATCCAGCCACCTTGGCCTCCCAGAGTTCTAGGATTATAGGCATGAGTCACTGCACCCAGCAGTTTCTGAGTAGTGTCTCAAAGTGCTTGCCAGCCTGCCAGATCCCACAGAGCCTATTAGGATTAACAAATGTGTTGTCTGTTGTTTTAGTGATTGCAAAGTTTGTTTTCTTAAGTAGATTGAACACCTGGCCCTACTTAATATTTTTGTACCTACATTCTTTTTGCAGATATAGTATAAAAACAATTTTCCTCCACCCCTAAATTTTTCAGTCTCTCAGTAAGAGGGTTCCATATAAAAAGTGTCTGCTGCCCTCATAGGTCTCAGGAGCTGACTGATTAAATTATCCCAGCCCGTAAGTCATCTTGGCTCTTTTCCACTTTTGGTAACACTCAAAATTAATTTCTAAATATTTTACCTCCTCTTTCTTATACTTCAATTAATGTTTCCTGGCCTTGAAACCTTCCTTAACATTAAACATTTTGAAGTCATTCACTTGTAGATGAATCCTTATTTAAGCAGAACATTTGGAAAACAGAAAAAAGAAAAACTACCTATAATCCTATTACCCACCTACAGCCAGTGTTAACATTATGTTGTGGCCTCCTGCCCCTCTTTAAACAATTTAGATCATATAATAATATAAATCATCCTACTTTGCTCTTTTTTGGGGGATGTGGTCTTGCTAAGTTGCCCAGACTGGTCTTGAACTCCTGGACTCAAGTGATCCTCCCACCTCAGTCTCCTGAGGGGCTGGGACTATAGGCACTTGCCACAACACCTGGCTCTACTTTGCTTTTTGACACTCAGTAGTGTGTCAAAACTACTTACCTTGTGGTTTTTATCACCATCTATTTTACATTTGTTTTCTGTTTATAAAATAACCTATTCTTACCGTAGGAAATTTGGAAAATCCAGTAAGATATAATGAGAGTATCCTGCTCACTTCAAATCCCATCATGCAGCTGCTGTTAAGATTTGGGGGCTTACGTTTCTTTGAAACTTTTTCTGTACAATTGAGATCATACTACAAACCCAATTTTTCATCTAGCTCTTTCCATTTAACATTCTATTGTATGCACATTCCCTATGTTCTTAAGCATTCTTCAGTAACATCATTTTAAATGATTAATATTCTATTGTACAAAGACACCATGTGCATATTTAACCTCTTTCTAGATTTTTATAAGTTAGTTCCAATTTGAGGCTATTATAAACAATACCATGAACCTCTTGCCACGTGAAGTTTTCTCTGCACTTCTAATGTCTTTAGGATGGATTCTCAGATGTAGAATTATCTGCAGGTCTACATATTCATAAGGGTCTTCCAGGAGGGCTGTACCAGCAAAATGCATTATTGTCCCAGCTGCAGAGCATTTGGTGAGCAGCCCCCAGGGATGGCTTGCTTGTCAGTGCAGCTCCCCAACTCCTCCCTGCTCCCAGTCAGGGCTGTGCCCCTAGCATCCCACCTGTCCAGTCTTAACAAGTGCAGTGACCTGGGTGGACTGATTTCCCTTTTCTTTGTTTCCCAGGGCAAGAGGAGGCAGAGCTGGAGGAGTTCCTGTGCCCTGTGAAAACACCCACTGGGCTCGTAGGCACAGCAGCTGCCTTGCAGCCGGTCCCTACCATGCCCTTGGCCCTTCAGAATATTTCCCTCAAGCACCTGGGAACTGAAATACAGTAAGTGCTAGTGGGGCTGAGGGACTGGCCCAGCTGCAAGCAGCCCCTCCTGCAGGGCTTGACCTGGTGGATTCCCCTGCAGGGAGGTGGGTCAGGAAGATGGTTGGGGGCTTTATTTTTAGTTAATCACATTATCACTTTAAAATATTCCATTTGTTCTGGTTAGAAAATAGTACGTGTTCATTGTAGGAAATCAGAAAATCTAGAAAGATATTCATTTATGGATATAGATTGAAAATTACCCGTAATCCTGTCACCCAAA